TTGCTTGTAATAGTGTGACGTGATGGATGGGATTAAACTTATTTACTTTGCATTGGAGATGCTAATGAATTCTTTATAGGTAGGACCTCTTTCCTACCATGAATCAAGAAGTACTGAAAGTTTAGACCTGTTTTTCATTTGCGTAAGTAAAGTACCGGTGCCTTATAGGGAAAATTTTGCACCTCTGAGTGATATGCGTTTCTGTGCAATCTGCCAGGAGAGCCTGTTTTAAAAGTGAGATCTACTGCTACTCCCCAGGAATCCAACCTTAGGGTCGTCGTCGCGGAGAGTGGGCCACATCTGAGGATTGGAATCACGTCCTCGATGGATTTCGGTGGAGAGTAGTTTCATTAGCCGTGAAAAGAGGAATTGAGTGCCATCATTAGCTTTATTCATCCCGAGAGCGTAGGGAAATTTTTGACCATGCCGTTTTCTCCCTTAATGAAAATTGAGGATATATGAACAATACAAACGGAACATCCCCATAATGGTTGATAGAGGATATCAAAAGATTAAGAGAGAAGTTACATGCTTTGCGTCACCTCGATGATTAAGACTTGAAAATTGCTGCGAAATAATATTGTTGTCCAAACTTTCGATCTATTTCTGGAGCAGATATTTGTTGCTTAATTGTTTCACTGCGGCATTTTTAAATAATTGGTAAATACTTATTCAAAACAGTTTAAAGTACTGTTTATTCATACACAGCGCAAGCAATCTGTCAGTCAGACGATTGATCATTTCCGGCATCTTGGCCCTCTTTCACAGGTCTTCGTGAAGGTATGTTTCATATGTTAGCTTCACAGGTTCTTTTCGTCGTTCTCAGCGGTTCGTACATTCCACGGGCGAGTTTTTAGTCCGTGCTCTCGATTAAGTAGTTTGTTTTAGTGAGAAGGAAAATAAGGCTTATCCAGTAGCCGTTGTCGCAGTTGATGTTCTCGTAGGAATGGATGATTAATGCCACCTTGACGCGTCTGTTCAAACAGTGTCTTTCTTTGATGATGCCGGTGCACAGTGATCATCGAGAAACGTATCATTACTGTGCCGCATGATAAATATCCCTATTCCTAGATTTGTCTTGGAGCGAGGCCTTGTTTTCTTTCATAGTGCTTCGTTACCACTCGTTGCTCATGCGCTTCCACGATTATCCACTTTCTCCAGCTTGACAAGTGAATCTTTGTTGTTTGAGTGACCGTGTGCCCTGTTACATGAAAATTTCATGAAAGTTACATGGAAATTTTTAACCCCAGCTTAGCCGATTGTTATTTTCAGACTTATTTAGCAGAACATTAAGTATATTAAAATTTTGGATATCACCTTAATAACGAATGATTTCTTCAGGACCGAATGTCACGGCGTTTTGCATTTCCCCTTGTTTCTATTTGCCTGTGGGGCTGTTTGAGCAGGTCACGGTTACACGGTACTTGAGGAAGTGCAGCTCCACGTACATTTCGCATGAATTTGTCCTCATGAGCCATCTCGCGTTTATTACGAACGGTCTTGGATGAATCATTTGTTATTTAACATGCTCATTGTGGCATGTGGGCGCTGTATTGAAGAGATCTGCTTCGAACAACTGAGGTAACTGGTTCGATAATGCTGTAGGACAATCGTTGTCTTATTCGCGAATTCCGTTTACAAACGAATTTACCACACATTGTTTCACACAGTGGTGTCGAAATCAGAACCACTAGATCATGGGTTCAAGGCCCGGTCAGGGTCACTCGCTCTTCTTTCTTCTGAGGTTGGCGAGTGAGTACCGCTCGGTGGTAAGGAGGCAGGAGACTTCACGCTACGCCTTTTGAAAATCCTTGGAAACGACTCTGAGTTCGTGTGCAAAGCCACATGTTCTGTGTTACATGAAAATTTCAGCAAGGATACGGGAAGCTTTACTTCATTTTAAGAAACCACCATCGAGGGAGAAATAATTCGTCCCTGCTACTGGAAAAGTTATTACTTGTATGATTAACTCACTAATTTAATGTTAACTTAATTAATTCTTAGTATTAACTGAGAGATTACTACATTGTTTACGTAAATTTTGTTGTATGAGAGTTTACCGTTTATTTTAATATTAACATAGACATGAAAGTTAGTAACCATTTCTTTAACATCATAACTGACCAGAGTAAATGCTTATTCTGGAAATAATAGCATAAAATACGGTTTGATTTTACATAACGTTGTATAGTGACCTAACTTCCATTAGTTTTTCCTTAGAGAAAGTTCATGAAATGCGGGCCGCAGTGTTTGTGTCGGTCTTTCAGTTCACTGTATTGCGTTGCGTATAAACTCCATTTTTAGTGTGATTGAAAATGCCCAAGTTCTTCATGTTTAGAGTTGAATATTTAATGAAATTTAATAAATTTCTTATTGTCCTTGAAAACGCTCTTTCGTAAGTTGACAGAAGCCATTTTTTCCAGTCCAGGTAACAAATGACAGACAGTAACATAAGAATGTCAGATTTCTTTATTTCACTGCTAAACATGGAATAGTCAGCAAAAGATACTGTAACTTTAGGAATACCGTTTTCATTATAGACAGTTGTTGCGAATCTTCCCAATTTTTTTCAATGCAGATGGCTTTGGGCGTGACGTTAGATGCTTCTCCATATATTACATTCAGCTGTATACTGTATCCATTTGTTGTGAAAAGTTTCTTTTGATGGTGGCTTCTGTGCCTGAATCCTAAGCATCGGAATAAAGTAAAAGAGAACCGTAAATGTTGCTCGCATGACGTATGAATGGTTGTCAACTTGTACTTGTTTGTTTATAGCTTAAAATTTGGGATCTACGCATGAGGAAGACCGTATTCAATTTCAACCAGCACAGAAACTCGCACTGGAAACTTCCGGTCATCCTGGACGATACTGAAACCGTTACTTTTGCCGGTAATTTATTTTTGTTTTAAAGTCGTTGCTATGACTGGAAGCCCTCTGCTCATTTTTTGCTTAAAACTTTAGTCTGTGTACGAAACAGTTGGTTTTTTAACTTAAGGTCTATAAGGATTATGAATACAGCAGTTTTACCTGGTTAGACTTTTAGAAGGTAAGTATAACTTTAGCGATCGTTGTTCTCAAACCATATATTCTTCAACAGTCTTACTGTAGAACCACGGTTAGCATGATTATCACCAAAACTTAGGTCTCGACTTTTACTAGAACCCGCTAAATACCAGCACAATTGCATCAGCAGCGAACTTAACTACGAAAAGCGGAAGGAAGGCAGTCATTTCTCTGTACCTGACATGAAAAGAAATACTGACTGCTATTTTCGGTATTCTAGCGTTTGATATCTAACAAAACTGTTTGATCATAATATATTCAGCAAGCTGACAGAACAGTTACGTGAGCAGTGGGTCAATTATTCTGAGAAGTCGTGTTTGGCAAAAGCAGCACGAAAATTGTTCATTTATTTCCAGCGTAATACATTCGGAACTATCAGGTGTTAGACCAGTACTGATGTTTCGCCTTCTGTCCCAGGAGCTCTCTTCAAGGTACAGGAGATGGTAATTTTCGGCGGCTGCTGAGCTCGTCTTTAACAGCTGATTGGTTTGTTGCCGAGTGGCTTCCTAAAACTTAATTATTGATTTATCAGTCAATCACCAGACAGGCAACGTGCATAGCATATTTTTAGAAATATACTATTTTTGTACTGTTTTTCAAGTATTACTTAACGTGCGAACAGAATACTTCATCTTCATGGAGATTTGGAGTACACTTTGTTTAATGCAATACTTCATTTAGCCATCAGTTGCTGCAACATTATGTATCGTTATTACCACAATTTCCTGTCATGGTTTCACTGGGGATTACCGCTGACGAGACCCAGTGCCCCATTCCTTTTTTAAGGATGTCCTGATGTGATCAGATTTTTTGACCTTTTGCACAGAAATGCCTTGAAAAGAATAAGGAGCTCTGTCAGCAGAGCTCGTTTCCACTACCTCATTCACTAATTATCACGGTTCAACAGAGATGCTAACGGCTACCATGGCAGATTCCTGATTGCTTTTCAGGACGGTTACGCGGAGGCTAATTTTTGAGAACTTTTCGAAGTTCTCATTTCATTAGTCCATTTTCCAATGCGGAAAGTTTTGTTAAAGAATACGTTGTTCCTTTTTTGCGGAGGGTCTATCACATGGTAATTCGTTATACTCACTTTGTGGATGATTGCTGACAAACTTTGAGTGAGCAATTCCAATTCCTTTCTGTTACTGCTAGAATTTCTTCGAAGGCCATCATATAAGTCGTCGACTGCAGATGACCGTTGCCTCTTTACCCGACCGTTGTGAGATTGGTTACCGGCGTTCAGGGCTATCGTAATGGCTGGGAAATACACTCATCTTTTCTTCACCCATGATTTCTTTCTTTGATTCCAGCCTGTCAGTACAAAGGGAAAATGGAGATACCATGCATATTAAACTCTCAGAATGCTTTGAAAATTGTTTTTCGTCTGACAGATAGGGCTGTCAGCGAATTTTATGAAAATCCAAATGATTCTTTGATGGACGATGTCTGAGTATGAAATCAACATGGCATTATTTGTGCCACTCAGACGGCCAGTATTTTGCAGTGCTATGTACAGAACGATGTTCAACGTTTGTTCGCTGTTATTACAGTGAACAGCGAATAACATATTTGCCATAGTCACTGGATACCAGGGACACGCCTGATTAACGTAAAGCGGATTCCACCAACCAGCCAAAGTTTAGACATTAAACTCAGTAATCGTGCGAGCTTTACACT